TGTATATATATATGACCATACTGTTCAGACTTGGTCACATGTCGCTGTGGATATAGAATAGACTCGAGGCCCAGAACAACATTGCATGTGCTCACCATAGAAAGCTAGAAGGCGAGAATTGGTAAATGGACTTGTTTAGCTGTGTCAGGCAGTGAATATTGGGGTTTACACGTTGCTGGAGTGCCATTGTAGTCCTCTCGATGTGTGTCGATGGTACTTCTGGACAGTTCACATAATTGTGTTGTACTATGCGCCTACAGAATCGCCAGCATACAATTCTGTGGGCGTTGCGAAGCTCGTTTGAGTATGTGATGTGTTATGACCAGCTATGGATATCAGTAATCCCTATAGTAAATAGTGCGAGAAACTCAGTTATATGTAGTTCAGGATTCAAGTCAGCATGGATCCAGTTTGTATTTTTTTAAGGGTGTGTGCAAGTGTATTCAAGGCTAGCGTGTTTTGTTTTCATCACGACTTTGTGAGAAGATTCTACGCAATGCAGCTTTATATAACAATGAACGAAATCATATTGGTATGCACGTACACAAGTGTATATTCACACTTTTCCACAACTTTGCACACACACAGGTCGAAGAAGGCAAATACACCAGCGTGTATTCATTCCGTCGAGACTTTGAACAGATCATGGACAATGCTATGGTATTCAATCTCCCCAGTACTATCTACTACCAAGAAGCTGAGCTTATCAAGGCACTGGGTAGTGTTTATATTCAGAAAGCAGCCGCGAGCCTGGGCTTACCCATGTTTGTTGCAGATGAGGAAAGGTGTGCATATATTTTTTGTTATTGTATGTGTACACCTATTTACCGGTGTGTCGAGAAAAGCGTCTTGGGACGGGCTATCTTTGCATGAGTGTAGGTAGTATACTTGTATATGGTGGTATTTCGCATACTTTATTTTCATATCTACTCGAGCTGGTAGTTCAGCATTGGGCCGATTTGGCTGCCAAGTTGATAGTGTGCACTCACTCATCCGTGTAGTGAGGTGCATCGACTTATGAACACCACGAGCTTGTGAGGCTATGCGATGTGCTTTTATTTTGTCGCTATATCCGACTAAAGTACAGATCAGAGATAATTCTAACAGGTGTAGTCTTACAGAAACTTGGGTAACCTGTGTGGATGTACACATAGAGACGCCTGTAAACACACACGCTTTCAGAATTTAGCATCATGCACACTATAAAAGTATAACCTGACACCAACGCGCTCTATATAGTTGCAAGCCATCTAGTATAGAATGAAGCCAGGTATCCCATCCCATATTTCATCTATGTTAATTGTCCGATATCTGTTTGACTGATCTGTCCAACGTCCAATGACCTGCCGACAGAGAGCAAATGGACGCAGGAGCCGAAAAAGCATCGACGGCACTTCGCACAACAAAGCCGAAATCAACAAAAAATAGTAAGGCAAATGGGTCCACAAAAGCGGCGAAGAATAAAAGCGTCGATGGAAATGTTGGTAGAGTGAAAAGAGAAGGAAGCAAACCGAAGAAGATGCCTGCCGAAGAGTATCTAATCAATCCCTATGGGGTGGCCAATGTCAATACATATGTACAAGGTGTGTGAGACGATGCGTGAAGGGAGGGTACTCGCATGCATGATAAATTGTTCTTTTCGTTGTCCAGGTGGTTTACGAATGTGTGTGTATCGAGGCGTGTATTTGAATTAGCCAAGGAATGTGAATATGCATGCGCATACAAGCTTTGAAACTAAATGTGTAGTGTTTGTGCGCAAGCTTTCTCAAGTATACAATATATATATACATATAAATAAATAATTATATACACACACATATATATAT